ATGACATGAAACTCAGAGTCGCCTTCGCATTTTATAGACCACATCTAAATGTGAAAACATTTTTGAAGCATAATTGTCAGTTATTTTTCATCAAGTTTTCTTGAAACAAATGATTCGCTTCTCCGCCTTCGGAAATAAGTATCTTCATTTTCTTGACAAGCTCGTTGATGTTGTAGGTGTTGTTATGTTCAGTCAGTTCAGGAAGAGGTAATTATTGAACAAATATAACAGGGAGAATAAAGATTTTTTATGATGTGTGTTTTAATATTCAACCCGTCCAGTGATTGGATGGATATGGAATATAGTATGATAATTAAAGTATGATGACAGAAATGATGATGGTGAAATTACAGGCACATGGGACTTGTCAACTTATGTCTCAGGGTGACGAGCGCAGTTGTAGTGCCCCTCAGATCTTTGCAACTTAAACCTCTGAGTGGCACTGTAACTGTTATGGACAGGCGTGTAGCTTACCATCAGGCGCACGACTTGTTCGTCCCGTCACTTGATGTTATAAAAAATTTGTAAAAAATTTGATTGTAGCGTGTAGCTACGTATACGCGCACGACTGCGTAGCTAATAACAATTAATATTTGTATGTAGTAAAACCTTATGCGTATTTGGTATCAAATGTGTGCGCCTAAAAATCAGCTACGCTAGTTCTCGAAGAAATTGCTCTAAATGCCATTTCCATATACTCCATGGTTAACCCTAATTATAGCAAGTATAAAGCAATGCCTAGTTCAATATTCCGCTAGTTATGAAATATAATGTCGATATCAATAAAATGCGTTCACATCCCTATATGTAGATAACTCAATCAATCAACTTTTGCTTTTGTTCCAAGAAGTTCATGTTCATAGGATTTTTAGCTTTATATGACTAGTGTAAAAGTAATAATAAAACTTTATCGGATTCAAATGTTGTAATGTTTTTACCAAAACTTTTTTACTATTGTCTAATTTCGTTTGATAATATCTTAGAGGATGGAAAAAAATAAAAGAAAGGAGCTGCCCTAACTACAGAATCAACGTGCTTATAACCAAAATTTGAAAGTTATAAATGGCGGATTTCTTTAGTGTTGTACCATAATCTATCGATAAGTCATTATCGACATGCAAATGTATGGCTTGAATGTTGAAACTGTTTTTTTTTTGTTTCTTTAGTTTACTATAACCAAAGTATGCCTAAACAAACACAAGTCTAATAATTTAATCTCGAGTGGTATATTATTATCAAATCCGAACGATGGCAAGGCAAGGCAAATAGGCTATCTATACATTGGTATTGGCCTTTACCCGGCAACGTTGGACTAACGTGTCATTGTATTGCAGGCTTTAAAAAAATAGTCACTTTTAATAGTTAGAGTTGTCATTAGGAAAAATAAAAAACGAGTGGATAATTTAGTTTTCAGCAACTGAGAATAACTAGTAAATGAGTCTTGTTTAATCTAAATTGAACATAAAATTATTTACCTATAAACCTAACGATGGAATAGCATTGTTCATCATGTAATCTAGTTACATTCAAAATTCTGTTAAAATTTGGCTCTTCAAAATGAAGCGAACAAATGAAGATGGTCTTTGATCCAACGTTTATATTCAGCAGTCCTATGATTTCCAACCATTCTTTCTTCCTTTTTTCATTTGTAGGAAAACTTGAAATAATAATAAAAAAAAAACAATAAAAACCTCGTAGTGAATTGTTTTAATAACAGAATATCGATAATATGTATGCTTACAAGTTCAACACTATCTCAAAATAATCGTTAGCAACAATCATCAAAATATACAAAACAAACAGGCAATCTAAAGTAACAAAAGCAAAATTTTTCAAGATTTATAAATAAACTACTTAAATAAGTCTAATTACATGAAATATTTGGGCTATTGTGTGATTTATAGACAAAAAAACAACACATGCCTGTGCAATGTAACATTCGATTGATTTGCACTTTTTCTAAAGCCATATAAAATATATCCCTTAATGCTGGAGCGTCGCATTTTTATTAATACCTAGTTATTCTCACTGTCAATATGTTTGTCCAATCTAATTATAATACATGCGAATAATTCAATAGTACATTTGGAAAAACGTTTGTTTTGCCATTTGATGTACTTCCCTTTGACAACGGTATCATGTACCTCATGCACTGCAAAATGGACACGGTTGGCATTTAAGATGACGTTACGTGTTTTCGATTCCGGTGTTTGACACAGACCAATGTAATGCTATCATTTTGGCTTAAGACGGCACGTAATAAACAAAGACAATAACATATTTATGTTTTCGACGTCGAAATGCATCATATACATACATATAACGTCTGATTTATATATGTCAACGTAACATATCCCTTAGTTTCCATAGTCTAAGAATAATATATAGCCAATCAAAATTATACATATTATCTTAGTACTAATGTAGAATTACGTTTTGAAATGTGTGCTTCTGGCGACACCGGTTTTGTTTTCATACTAATATCGCTTGATACCATTTCCACTCTTTTTTCACGTCCGTGTATCCAAGTATATTTTCTATTCTGTGGTTTTACTATGCATAAAGTTGTCTTACGTTTAAGCGATGCCAATTCTTATAACGGTAAGTCCACCCAAATTCAACAATTTAATTTAGTTTCATTTAAAAGGGATTAGACGGATAATGAAAATTGGAATGTAATCTAATAAGCCCGGGAATCCAAACGAATTTCCCTTATCGCCGATTAAACTTTATTTTTACACTCGAACAATTGAGACGTCATTATTTAATTTTAAGATATCCGCTTTGAAAAATGGAAAGTCGCTTTTAAACAGTCTCTCCTTTGTAATAAAATTTTTATCTGATTTTGATTGAGGCTAAATGTGGAAACGGAATTTGATTTTTAAATATATAGATGTGTTAATTGAATAAGTCTTAGTATTTTATATTTCTATTTCCTCCATTTGATTCCGTTGCCGTTGCTTTAAGCAACCACAGACGAGTCGATACCTTTTCATCTCGTACACAATTCCACACAGCACACTCGCATAGATTCTTTTGCTTCCTTGCTACATTCCTTTACTTTAAATTAAATTCTACATTGCATTATTTCGCCATGAATAAAATAGAATGTAAAAATACCGTCAAATTGTGGTTTAAGAGTAAAACTTACAATGAAACTGAGGGCTTGCTGGATGATGTTTCATTATTATTTTTATATATGTCACCATTAATTTATAATTACTAATAATTTTATTGTTAATTATAGAAAATCTCTTTTTAAACCGTAATATAAGGAAATTTTCCCAAATAGATGCCGAAAATACAGGTACACATTTACTTAGTTTAGGCATCGCAATGTATAGCTTTACTATGACGAATGTATAATTTACATCTTCGTATCCCTTCGTAATGCTTATTTCAATAGTATAATAGCTTTATTTACATTTGTTTTACTTGTATTGTATTAGATACAGTTATCTTGAAATAAATTTATCTTTATCTTTATAATAATAGTAATGATAATAATAAAATCGTCTATTACTCTCAACATAGTAACATACGAGGTATATATACCCTTCTGATCCCCTACAACCGACCGACCCCCTGACCTGGCGGATCCGCTCAGGCTGCTACCAGAGGGACTGCGCTAAATTGATCTATGGTTGTATACTGTAAGTGCCTAGTTATCGCCGCACGCCTAGCTCAGGAGCTCAGTGTATTCTTCGACGCTAAAATGGACCCACAGAGTTACATAAAGCTGGTCTCGGTATTTAGAACAATTATTATTCGAAATGCTGACTTTTTATTAAAAAAATAAACATATTTCAGTTTGTCCACAAATGTGCGCCTGTAATCCCCGATTATACCTATTCTGAGGTGGAATTTGTGATCAAAAATGTAAACAAAGATGTTATTACAAAAAAAATATTTTAAGATAATTAATGTGAAAATTAATTAATTAATTTTTTTAATGCGAAATAAATTCATTGAAAAAAGTGTCACCAATATTGTTTTGTTTTTCCATAATGTTGGTCAAATGTCAAATAAGTATAATCGTTACTATTTTTGCCAATGCTGAAACAATCAAGTTGTAAGATGTAAAAATCAAGTTATAATTATATCCTCTAGAGACTATCAATTCCTGCTTTTGTCTAATTATCGTTGATATCGACTACAATCGAGTTTTGCAGTCGGCTGTAGTAGTCCATATTTGCATTAATTGCAGACACGTAGCCCTTCTGTTAGCAGCTTAAGATTGGCATTTGCATAAAATAGCGAATTTCTGATAAGTGTCATAATCAGAGAAATATTCACTCATAACTAGACTACAAGGTTTCCCTCCTCCAAGGTTTGCCGAAACTAGAACCAGTTAAAACATTTCTTATGAAAATTGCGCAGTGAGAAAATATACCAGACACGTACAGGTCGGGAGGGAGATCATTCCGCTTTGGAAATGGTGTATTTGAAAGAATTCGAAGACCGGCCAAGAGATCTCACAAAGAAGTCTTCAGTTTTCTTTTTAAATAAATCGGAACTCTAAAGCAAGCTGTAGCGGAGCGTTAGTTCCAAATGACGCCGCTAGATGGCCACTTTGAAGCTATTTCTAAAACACGGTGTTTAGATTTTCCCTCGGCACTATAAGTAGTTAAGCTAAGTATGTATTGTTGATACGGAATTCAATGTGTGTATGGCTCACTCTGAACCACATTGGGTATTTACTGTGTACAGGCTGTGTACGAGAACTTACCGGACCTCCCGTTACGCCTTTTGTGTACTGCCGCCAATAAAGTTCTGCTTACTTGTTTATTAAGCGCGTTATTTTTCTTTCCCTGACGAAACGAGTTCTTGCTACATCGTCCTGGATCCCGTTACGTATCTGGCGACCAATGTGAGGACCAGGAACCTCAATCTGGAGCACAATTCTAGAACACCTACCTAGACCACCTAAGGCATTTGTGGCAAAAAACACGCTTAAGTCACCTGTAAAGAAGAAACATAAATCAATAAACAACGTAAACATGACTTCAGTTAGTATGACCACTGAACAGCTGCAACAAATGGTGTTAACCATAACATCGGTAACCGTGGAAGCCATCCAAACAGCAGGTACCACCAGCTCGGCCTCATTTGCGAATGCTAATTTCATCTTGGATGGAGCCAGGAACCCAGACAAAGTGGAGGAGTTTCTTACTACTGCTTCCATTTATAAGAAGGTGCAGAAAATATCTGACCAGGTTGCTTTTCAAACGCTACCGCTTGTATTAAAGGGCGAAGCTTCGACTTGGTGGCTGGGTATCAAGGATAGCATTGACACATGGGTGGAGTTTGAAAAACGCTTACGTCGCGCCTTCGCACCGAAGAAGCCCGGATACCTTGTATTTTAAGAAGTATTTGCTTATAGACAACCTGCGAACATGTTAACAGAACGTTCATCGCTGAGAACCATGCATTACTCGCGCAGCTGTAGCTCCCAAAGCTAAATGAGGGACATCAACTAGGCATCATCTACGGTCAACTCAAAATAAACATTCGCGAGAAAGTGCCCCGTGACAGTGTCTATTCATTTGATGACCTGTTGCAGGCAGCCCGTGGCGTAGAGCAGCTATTATAAGAGAAACCAAACTCAACTAGTTATAATAATATCCAACAAAACCCAAATGAGACACAAACAGGGAAGAAGGCACGGTGAGGATACTGTAGAGTGGGTGGCACCACCATCGAACAATGCCGCAAAATTATTAGAGTTCAAGGGTTACAGCGAAGTGCTACTGAATCTGTGAGGGAGATAAAAACCAAACCAGCTGCAATGCAAGCCCCTTTCCCATCTCAACCAGCATTCTCTTGTTATGGATGTGGTACGTCAGGAGTCATACGTAGTAGATGCCCTAAATGCTCAGCTACGAACCCGACACGTACAAAAACTTTAAATTTTTGTGCCTTAAATATCAAATCCAATGCTCGGCCGAGACCTGTTGTAGCAATAGGAATATACAACGTAGTCGGCACTGCATACGTAGACACGTGTGCTAATACTAGCGTTGCAAGTTACCAACTATATAAGTGCCTCAAACAACAAGGGTGTAACTTTTCGCGACAGCGTGTCATCAACACTATGGCCGACGGAATGAAGAAGAAAGACGATGTCTAAAGTGTTACAGTCGCAGTCAGTATCCACAGCAAAATAGTAACTATAACGTTCATTGTGCTACCAGAGGCTACGGAAAACAGAACCCTGCTTGCTGTAGGCTTTATCTAAGATGCTGGTATGATCCTCAATCTACCTCAACTTACATGGCAATTTATTGATGCTCCCTGTAATACTTACGATCTGATTTAAGAAGAGCATGACGGTTTCTCGGTGGCTCTAAGATTAGCAGAACTCCCACCAGGCCATTCAGAAGAACGGTTATTTTTTTCTGATAGTATAGGTGCAGAGGTAGGTCACCATCTAAGTAACCACTTACAGCAAATGGTTAATTATTGCTATCCAGGAGCTACTTTTAGTCAAATTATTACACTCTTAAGTGGTCACAACTTTGATAAATGCTCAACCGTGATTATTATGTTAGGTAATAGTAATGACATTAGCAAAAAAGAAATCAATAGTAGCATTGACGTGTTCTTGAGAATACATGAGAATTGTGGATGTAAATTCCTGCTTAGTGTATTCCGGTACTGCTCCAATCTAGGCACTACTTATAAATACAAATTCATTGTATATAATATAAATTTACAAATTTACAATTTGACATGCCGTCATAGTGACGTTATATTTTGTTTTGAGATCAATAAGTTCGTAAGGAATTTCAAACTTTTTGAGGATAGTTTACATTTACCCCTAAGGTATCCGAGACATATTGCTAGTTTACTAGCTTTTATTATTAAGATGCTGTTATAGAAGATATAACACAGTCTCACGACAAATCTCTTACTCTAAGTAGCAACAGTTTACTTATTGCTAACCAACATTTAAACTAGAAAACAAGACAACAGAAAAGTCTAATCTTTTTCATATAGTTCATCAAAACTTTCAAGGCTTTTCTGGCAAAACATTAGAAATAAGTCTGTTTATAAAACGATATTTCCGTTGACGTGTTTTGTGTAACAGAACACTGGTTGAAAGACTAGGATGCAACTAACAACGTGGAATATTATGTAATAGTTAGGTCGTTCATAAGAAAGAACTTAAGTAAAGGCGGATCAATGATTATTATTAAGGATAATGTAAAATTTAAAGAGCGTAAGAATATCACAGATCTCTCTATTGAACGGACTATTGAGATTTCATGTGTGGAATTGGATCAGTTTGTCATTTTATGTGTATACAGGCCCCTTCTACTAATTACAATGAGTTTGAATTAATCATGGAAGATAGTTCAAAACATTTTACCAACTAAAAAAAACATATTACTCTGTGGAGATTTCAATGTAAACCTGTTGGAAAACTGTTCTACTTCTTTAAGACTCATTAATTTATTTGAAAGTTTTAACTTGATCAATCTCTTCTCGAAACCAACTCGCATCACTGCTTCATCGTCTACTTGTATTGATAACATTTTTTGCAACACAAACGCAGTATCTAAATCAATACTTAATTGCTTAAGATCAGACCATAGTGGCCAATTGGCTACTTTTTATTGTAAAATGAGCAAGAAGGTAGACCAATTTCTTTGCAGATCGATTACCACAGAACGAATAATTAGATTTCAAAAGAATATCGACAATAGTTTAAAATCCCTCCACCATATAGCGGAGGTTCCAAATATTTTATATAGCACTAACTTTCCACAGGGAGACTAAATTCAATGACTGGGCAACAGTAGGTATTCATAAGAGTAGGTCTCGTTTGTATGAGCTATATGCTATGAAAACTTATAATACTAATTCCAGTTTTATAGAATATGTTAAAAATTATTCAAAGATATTTAAAAAAGTATGTGTAGCTGCTAAGGTTAAGTTTCACAGCGAAAAATTATATAATCGAAAAAAAATCTAAAACTACTTGGAGTATAAATAAATAAAGAGTCAAAGTTAGTAAATAACATGACAGATATATAGTTCTAGAATTAGACGGCAAACTTATTAAAGATGAAATAGCCAAAACTTTTCAATTATTCTTCTCGGGAATCGCCGTGAACACTACAAAATTATTAAATTCCCCTCCATCTCTTGCTATTGATCTCCTAAAGAAAAATGTTAAAGTTTGTGGCAGTGTATTTCATTTTCATCGTGTTAATTCAAAAGACATCATTAAAGCTTTTAAAGGTATACATGCTAAAAAAACTGGAAATCTCTGGGGCATATCGACTAAAGTTATAGACTCGGTAATTTATCTGATTTCCCTACATTTAGCTGATGCATTGAAATGGGTGTGTCGACAAAGGTCTTTTTCCTGATTTGATGAAATACAGTAAGGTTTATTCAAAAGCGGCAGGAAACTTGATCCTAGTAACTATAGGCCCATTTCAATTCTACCAGCTTTAAGAAAAATATTCGAAGAGGTTATGTTGACTCAACTACTATCGTATTGCGGTAGGAATCATGTTTTTCATAGTGAACAATATGGGTTTACTAGTGGTAGATGGACTAGCGATGCGGGGGTAGCACTATGAAAACATATCTTTGATGCTTGGGAAAGGTCCCAGAATGCTATTGGGGTTTTCTGTAACATCTCAAAGGCATTTGATTGCGTGGATCATAATTACTCTTATTAGGAAGCTGGAATATTACGGAGCAAATGGCAAGGCATTGGAACTTGTCTCGTCATATCTTAGCGGTAAAATTCAGAAAGTAGATATAAATGGAGTGACTTCTTTGGGTTCTCCGGTAAAAATTTGTATTCCGCAGGGCTCAATACTTGTACCTTTCTTATTTCTCACTTATATTAGTGATCTACCGTTCTTTGTTATGGACCTTTGCGAAATAGTATTGTTTGCTGACGACACATCCTTGATTCTTAAAACAGACAGACATGACCTTAACTATGACAATATTAATGGTATCCTTTCAAAGGTAGTTTATTGATTTAGTATTAACAATTTATTACTCAATGCCAAGAAGACAAAGTGTGTTAAATTTGAATTACCTAATGTAAAATTAACTAGCCCAATCATAGAAATAAATGGAGAAAAGTTGGACCTTGTTAACAAAGCTGTCTTTTTGGGAGTGACCTTAGACTAGAGTAAACTCCAATGGTTTGCACGTATATCTTCCTTGGCCAGCAGATAAGCTCTGCTGCATACGCAGTCCGTAGAATACGTGAACTTACCGATGTTGTTACTGTTAGACTAGTTTGCTTTAGTTACTTCCAAAGTATAATGTCCTACGGGATCCTCATGTGGGGTAAAGCGGCAGATATACAAACCACCTTTATGTTGCAAAAACGAGCGATTCGTTCTGTGTACCGTTTAGGTTCTCGGATTTCTCTCAGAGTAAAGTTTAGGGAGACTGGTACTATGACTGTGGCATCACAGTAAATTTACTCTAATATTTTGTATGCCCGTAAACATATATACAACTTCGTTAAGAAAGAAGATATCCATAATATTAACCTTAGAACTAAGGTCAAACTCATGATACTATGGTTTCGTTTAACTAAGGTAAACGGTTCTTTTATGGGGAACTGTATACGTTTTTACAATAAGATTCCGAAGCATATATTAAGTTTACCATTTCCTAAGTTTAAAAGTTACGTTAACAGAATTTTAATTGAAAAGTCGTATTACACGCAAATATGATTCAAAATGTATTTTATAGCATTTAAGTTTATTTGAAAAGAGCAATCCCTAGAGTTTCTTGCTTGTTCTTCTCAGGAAGGTCAGCGTAGTGAACGATATAATATAAAAAATTACGTTTTCAAGTGTAAAAATTTTACCTATGGAATAATATTTGACTTCTTGATTTTGACTTTGACTTCCTAACTTAAATTCCATAGTATTGAACGACAAAAAATACGTTGTCGATTGCGTATTGCTTTCACGCATCTGCTCGTTTTTGTCCGATCACACGTGTCGATTGATAGAAGATCTCGCACCCTATCGTAGAGACGAGGATCGAAAACGATGTCACATTATTATAGTAAAATTATTGCATTACCATTGCAACCGAATTTTTGTATATCAACTTCTCAAATTATCAATAATCTGTATCTTTTGGTACCAATCCGAAAACTCCAATTTCAATAAATTTTCTTCCTGTAAACGGTTAAACAAGCTCATTATCACATCATCACATGTGATGTTGTAAATTTTATCTATGTACAGGTTTCATTAAAATCAACACTATTACAAAGAAACATGATGAAATATTTTCAGTATAAATATTATATTATATGTATTTTTATGCAATAACTTTAACTCGATTTTTGTGTGCAGATGTTATGAGC